ATGTATGTATGTATTTGTATGTGCTGTAATATTCTTTGTTGTATGTTACATTTATGTAGTTTGTATGTGATGCAATGTTCTGTATGTTACATTTATGTAATTATTTGTATGTGATGCAATGTTCTTTGTTGTATGTTGCATTTATGTAGTTTGTATGTGCTGTAATATCCTGTATGCTACATTTATGTAGTTATTTGTATGTGATGCAATGTTCTTTGTTGTATGTTGCATTTATGTAGTTTGTATGTGCTGTAATGTTCTGTATGTTACATTTATGTAATTATTTGTATGTGATGCAATGTTCTTTGTTGTATGTTGCATTTATGTTGTTTGTATGTGCTGTAATGTTCTTTGTTGTATGTTGCATGTATGTGCTGTAATGTTTTGTTGTATGTTACATTTATGTAGTTATTTACATGTGCTGTAATATTCTTGTTGTATGTTACATTTATGTAGTTATTTGTATGTGCTGTAATGTTTTGTTGTATGTTACATTATGTAGTTATTTGTATGTGCTGTAATATTTTGTTACATTTATGTATGTATGTATTTGTATGTGCTGTAATATTCTTTGTTGTATATTACATTATGTAGTTATTTGTATGTCCTGTAATGACTTGTATGTTACATTATGCAGTTATTTGTATGTGCTGTAATATTTTGTTATATGTTACATTATGTAGTTATTTGTATGTCCTGTAATGTTTTGTTGTATGTTACATTATGTAGTTATTTGTATGTCCTGTAATGTTTTGTTGTATGTTACATTATGTAGTTATTTGTATGTCCTGTAATGTTACATTTATGTAGTTTTATGAGCTTTGATGTTATTTGTATGTGCTGTAAGGTTTGAGGTATGTTACATTATGTTACTTGTATGTGCTGTAATGTTGTTACTGTATATTGCATTTATTATGTGTTGTTGTACATATTATTCACAGTGACATGTTTGAACATTTTGTTTTGTATAATCACCCATGTTTTAAACTGTAGCAGTTCATAGAATACTCACACTAATTGGACTAGCATGTGTTATTTGCATTTGTATATATGAACCATTATGGATGTACTGTCACACCCTAAGCATAATAAAACAGACCGACTGATTGGTTAATTGACTCTCACCTGACTTAATTCAACCAACCACATTGGTAGAGTACACATGTTGTCAGATCATATAATCATAAATTATAGTTAATTTTATATAATCGTTTAGTAGACATTAACTCGCCAATATGGCTATGCAGGATAAGCCAGATAGTAATGGGAATGTCAGTTTTCACGTAAATCAGTTAATTATTTTAAGAAAATAACTGATAATCTAAACAAACTGATTGTTCATAAAACAGTGGATTTGGGGTTCTTTAATCCTGTATGTGTATTTCCTTTGTATCATAGTATGTGTATTTCCCTTTGGTGCCAAGTACCATATCTTTCTGTTTTATTACAGCCCTGCATAGCTTTTGAGCATTGAACATTTTAAGTGATAACAACATGGGGGGGGGGGGTTATATTTGGTCTTGAACTAAATGTGCACGTCTTGTACTTATTTTATATATTTTTTTCATTGTAAGTTAATTTGCTGACTGTGTATATTATTATGGGGGGGGGGGGGCAAGGATTCATTTTACTACTTTTGGTGATATTATTTTTGTAATTAGGAAAGGTATTTATTCCGTTGACTGTATTTTTTGTTTATAATGATTATATTGCAATAAAAATTATGGCCAATTACAATTTGTTTTCATATATATACATGTATATATTTGGGGCCCCCTGAAAACTGTTTTTTCTATAAACTCCTACAAAATGCATCTGCAATCAATACAACGTCCAAACAGCTTTTAAGGGGGCCTAATACAACACTGTATTATAAACATTTGAACCCTGTGTATGTGCAAAAAGTTTATTGAATTGCAAAATGGTATGAAACTGACATCTGGCAATATAAAATCACATCCGCTCTGCATCTCAATCATTCCTTATTTTGACTTAATAAAATTATTGCCTCCATTCACAAAAACATTTCTAGAATGGTATATATGAAATCATTTTTAAACTTTCAACCTTTTAAATCCTTGTATTCATTACCCATGGGGAAAAAATGATGTTTTTGAGTTGCACATCTCATTTCCAGTCTTGGACAAAATGAACTCTTCTTCTACGTTAAAATATTCTTCAAAATATACAGACAAGAGTGGCTTTTTTTCATTTTATTTCTTTAGCACATTTTGCTAATAATTTGTACATTAAAGCACTGAAAATGACAATCCTTCACTGTATGGAAGCTAACAGAACATTCTTGGAACAAAAGTGTATTTTTCTAAATATTGAAAAAAAAGAAAATGTACACCTTAGTCTCATGAAATATGGAGTGATAAATAATATGGGTACTTTAAACGGTATAAATTTCCCATGAAGTACAAATCTGGTCACATGGTTACTTTTGACCAATAATGTCTCAGCTTATACTTAAGTTAAAGCCTCAACAATCAAGCAGCACGTCATATAGGACCACATAAAATACGATGAGGTGCTACGACTAACGCTTTTATTTACCATTACTCATACATAGGATTAACACTTCAAATTAAGTTTTGATAATGTTTGTACATTTTGTTACAAATATTCTCTTAAATTTGTATGTTTTAATAATTGAAAATACAAGGTGTTGCTGGACCCATTTTCATGGCAACTCCACTCTTCAAATCATATCTCATATGAGGGGAAAATAAAGTTTTTTGAGCTTCTCTTGATTCAAAATTAAATTTCTGGAAAACTTCCTAACACAATGATTAGAGGTAAAACATTACTTCAACGGTTTTGAGAAAATTACAATGAAAAAACAAAAATAAATGACAAAAATATCTTTAAAATCTCAGAAATTCTGATATAACAATACAATATTTGTTCTATTAGTGCACATCAACCAAAACTTGCATTTTACTGTATGCTATTTTGCTGGATCTTTATAATATGACTTATTTTAAGTATAATAACATTGTCTAAAAGAGCATATACCATACTGTAGAACAGTTTATTTTTGCCACTAGATTTTATCATGATTTGATGACGAATTTCATGAAAAGACCCCAGTATTCATTGCTACAAAATTTCATGATTTTGGTTTAACTAGCAAACTTCATGAATGAATGTCTTGAAAGAATCACACATGACATCACATATGGTAAATAGCAGTCATTTAAATTGCGAGAAAACAAACAATGCATATACATTATTAAATATGATAATTGAAAATTACAATAGTTTATGGGTAAACACAAGTACTGTAAAATCTGTATTAATTAAAAGCTGCGGCTTCTATTAAAATGGTACAATGCAACAGAGGGGATACGGCTTCTATTAGAGCATCTACACATATGAGAAATGGTTAATTTTTGGTTCTCACTTATTCAAAAAAAATGGATGCGGCTTCTATTAGGGATGCGGCTTCTAATACAGATTTTACGGTACTGGTTTACATGCTATTTATTTTTTCCATACGGGTGTAGCCATCATACTGCTGTCACGTCCAACACTGATATACTCAGTGGGGTTATCAGCAGCACAATAATGAGTTAACAACTCCTGAATAGCACGCTCCTCAATCTGAAAAAAATAACAATATTCATATATTACAATATTATCTTTAGTGACTGTGAAATGGAGAGTTCTCACACATTATTTTTTATTCAGGTGACAAGCCTTGAACGTTATGGAGGCATCCAAGGTAATTGACTTGATAACCTAAGAGTTTGCTTTGATGAACTTGAAAAGTTATGCAGCACTCATATTTCCTAGAGGTATATGCCAAGGTCATTTTATCAAAATTTGACTTCAAAAGAGTGCCCTTTCAACTCTGAAGTTCAACAAATGCAAAGTATCTTTAAATACTATAACAGGGTCAGAGGAATTATCTCTCTCACCTGAATTAGATGAAATGGTTTCTTCATATTCTTTTCCAATGTTTCTGTCTGTTTCACTTCAGCCTGCATAATATCAGCAAATCTCACAGTGTGTGGAGAAGGTGACTTAGGACATGGTGACTGTTTCCATGGACTAGAAAAGATATATGAAGAAGAATATGAGGAGTGAGCAAGAACACTATGCCCATATTTGGTAATCTCTGTCAAAGCTGTATTGTTGCCAAAATTTTGTTTGATGCCTTCAGATATCAAGTAATATGTATACTGAAATAACAGCTATGGGATTTGCAAGATATCAAGAAGGGATAGTAGTTCCACAAATTTGGTTGAGATTGAGTTTTCCGAATCTCAGGGTGTCATCAAGTCACCAAATCAGATATGAGATTCTCTGTTCAATGAACCAGGTTGGACTATTTAAAAATCCAGTGTTCTCCCCAGGATACTAAGGGACGACGTCAAAAGATCGATGTCGGATAAAAAACTTAATTCCTTTAGTTTTTTTCCAAACCCCCCCTACCCCCACTGAAACTTAATTGATAAATATTGGTCATGGCGTCAGACTACATTCACCATTAAATACAAATTGATAATCGGGCAGTAGTATTGCATAGCAGTTGGCTGTCGGGTGGGTGTAAAAAGATTTTACAAATGCACCTCATTTGACGCACAGATTTACACTCGAACCAAACCATTTTTCTGTTTTTTTCCTTTTTCGGTTATTTCTGTCCATGATTGGATAGAAAAAAACGAACTACAAATACTCCAAGATTTTTTTGACTTCATTAAAAAATAAAATCGTTTTTGTCGGATGGAAACTTTTTGAGGTCAAAACCCCCCACCCCCAAACTAAAGGAAATAAGTTTTTTATCCGACATACGTCTTTTGACGTCGTCCCTAACAACATGGCAGTACCACTACAGTGCTTATTTTACTTCCACACTGGTCAAGTGCTGCCACAGTCTTTATCCTTGATTGCCATAGTTTACTTTCATTTATTGTGTGCAATAATGAGCATGTTAATCATTACAATTTCTATTTTTATGTCTGTATTTCTATGCAAATGATATGCAAATCATCACAGTGGTGTAAATTCCTTGGGAGTACATTGAATTGGTGATTTTATGTTTTAATACTGTGAGATACTGCATAATACATGAACAGCGCAGACTGTCTGCCCAATAATTTGATTTTAGGCTTGAATTTTTTTAAGTTCGATGTCAAAATGCTGAGCTTCCACTTCTGTAAAATTGATCATCATCAAATGTATACAGCTTATTATTCAGTGTGGAAATGCCCTCAAAAATCAAACATTGTGAACTTCCTATTTAAGCTAGTTGTGTATTGTATAGTATCAAAGCAATCAGACTTGCTCAACAAGAAGTCAAAAATATCACTTTTTACCAAAAATGACAAAAATATTCATCAAAATTAGAGAATTGAAGATATCACATGAAATGAACAAATCTGAGAGAGGTCCATCTAAAGTACCTATATGTATAATATCAAAGCAATCGGCCTTGCGGTTTTCAACAAGAAGGCAAAAATATCCTGAAAAATAACGGCACCCAAAAGTTGAAGAATTGATGAGAACCTTTTCAGAATTAGCACAGCTTATGACCTACCAGAGAATTTCAGAAGATGGACTTTGTGGAGATGAGACTGGAGATGTAGATATCTCATCCTCAGACATTCTTCTTACCCGCGAAGTAATGCCCCAACTGAAATGATGCCAAAAAATGTAGTTATGAAATATTACTGTAACAGTACTATTGGGAAGCTCACATTGCTTGCTTGTTTTCAATAAGTTTACCATATAGTAGTTAGCTACTGTATTCAGTACATGTCACCGAGCAAAACCAACTTTCCATGATTGATCTCCAGCACCACAGTGGTTCTTTACCTGGTGCATCGTTAACGTCTCAAGTTCCAGTCACACTTATAGATCAACATGCAAGTGTGTCGCAACTCAAAAACACAAATAAAATCACACTTCATACCACAGTCTCTCTATTGCTATTTTGCTCAAAGTTGGAAGTGTCATAAAAAAAATCAGAGTCTGTAACTTGTGGAAGGACATTGCACTTTTATGTATTTTTATATAAATTAAGTCACAGCTGCAGTTCATAAAAGCAGTCTTAATTCCCCTTTCAGTTACTCCAAACATGGACAGCATTCGTTTCACGAGCAAAGACTATCACAAATGGCCTATTGTGAGTACTTCACATCTAAAGCAGGAGGAATGTCATACATACAATGTGTCACACGCAACGTAATATTACCGTAATTGGTATAGTACAGGTGTGATGGTTCAAATACCAAAATGGCAACAGTAACAGAAAGACTTCCCTGGCGGCGATGATAAAATACGAACACGGAGCCAACAGATGAGGTTTTAACTGGTACTGGTATTATTATACTCTGCAAACATCAAGTACAATAACGCGGTAAAACTCCACTACTCCAATAACTAGATACTTAAACTCCAATACAATTCAACGAGATCTTCGATCTGATCTCAGTGCTGAACAACTCCCCTATATATACCCACACTGTCTATAAATAGACCATTACATCAGCATACATAATGAGTCTGGCACTTACTACAAATTTCTAGAATGTTCCATTACCTTCTATTGCCTCCTACAGTGTTCTATTACCTATTCAACCATTTTCTAAACAAAATATAGAATATTCCACCCAGACACAGTACGGTTCTAGAACATTCTCAGTGACACGGAAGTGGTAAATAAGTCGTATGCGACACAATGTATGGCCAATGCTAGATAACACATTCAAATTATATATCTCTGTCTCCTTAAAGTGGAAGTTATTACAAACACATAAAGGACACTGGGAAAACTAAACAACCAAACCTGAACTCTTGAATTATCGAAACTAAGGATTCTAATAATTTCCCAACTCAACACAAGACACACAAGTTTTAGACTACATTAAGTTACTTTTGACAAGCAGAACATATGATCAGAAACTTATCTCAACAGTTCTAGCATTGACTTCAACCTCCTGTTCAAGAGCCAGATTCACAAAAGCCATGACAATGAAACAGGTATTACCTTAACATTTTCTCTCTTGAAGAAACTTGTGGTAGTGTAGGTGGTGGAGAGGTTGCTTGGACAATAGATGCAGATCTCCTAGCATTCACTAATTGATGTTTCTCATCCTCCAATTGAAGTTCTCTAAACGACTTGGCTGATGGAGATTTAGGTACAGCACCCCTGGGAAAAAAGAAACAAAGGTATTACTGGTATGCAGACAACTAGTCAGTTTTTGCCTCAGGCATCCACTACAACAAAAATTTATGAAAAGTTAATGCGACTCAGATTCCAGTAAAAATGTCCCTACTGCGAAATTAAAACAGTATTTTAACAGACTGCCCTCCACTGCACGCTGGATACTAAACCAACTAGATCCCCCACCCACTGACAGCTTTCAATAATAAAAGTTTATGCTTTAAACACATACCAGGCATACAATGGTGATTTCGGAATACTGTCCTTCTCTGATTCTTTATTTCCAGCTTCTGTTTCGGGAGTATCTACTTTTACACTCTGTCTCTGACTTGCAAGTTTCTTTCTCTGTTTCTGTGACATTTTTCCATGTGTAACAATGAGAGACGTTTTCTGATGAGAGTGACGCTTTACTCTACTGGTTTCAGCTTCCATTATTGATCTCAAGTCGGTACTGGCTTGTCCAACTGGACTGGTAGGACTGAAATGAACAAAGATTATATCACAGATTGATATGACGTCATGAACCCATCAGACAGGAAACATTTGTTGCATCATTTTTGTGCCAGGTTTTTTTCACTCTCAACAAATTGTCTTACAATAAGTAAGAAAATAAAATTGACAATTTATAAATGCCTCAATCTCACTTTTTAAACTTGTGGAACAATTATTCCCACATGTTCATCTCGTAGTGAGAACTATATTAGCCAAAATATAATTTGATTCTTGCTGGAGCTTATTTTGAGCACTATTTTGGCCATTGTATGCTAACAAAACCTTTCATCAAAAATCATTTCTGATTACCAGTAATGACAGATGCAAAGTTCTTGAAAGGGTTAAGATTACAAATACCTTTTTCCCACCAACAATTTGCTTTTTTTTTAAATTTTCATTTCTATTTTATTAATTATGAACCAAATGACAATCATTTGCTTCAGATCTTGATCAAACAGCCACACATATGAATTCAAGATAAAGGGGGTATATACATGTATGTATGGCAGTGTATGGTAGTGCTGTACAACACAAATACTTACCTCTGAACACCCCATACAGTAGAGTGGAGCTGTATTGTCTCATTACTTTCAGCTAAATCCATAGGAATTGATACATTGCAAGAGATGACACTAGTTAAATCTTCATCATTCTGAAATCAAAATGGTTAGAGATAAAACGGTAACAAACATCACTTTTATACATTTATGACAAAGAATAAGAATGTTCTCTGCCAAAAAACCATAGAAGGAGCTAATTTGTTCAAATATTGATGAATAAATCCCTTTTTTTTCTCTCTCAAAATATACCTTACTTTAGAAAATGCAAAATTGGGAAGAACAGTTTTGAAGTATAAAAATAGAAATGGGAGAAAAGTAGAGAGAGGACAAGTCTGACCGAAAAAAGAGAAGCTCTGTCACCATCACATTTTTGATGATTTATTTGGCAAAGTGAAAATAACTATCACCTCCTTCATCTCTTCTGCACTGCTCCCTTTTAGGAGTTCTTTGGCCTCTTCAACTCTTGGAGATAAATCAATAGTTTCCATAGCAACAACATTCTCCAGGGATGTTGTTCTGTCACTTTGGATAGAGTCATCTTTTCCAGCACTAATGGTTCTTTTACGCGATTTCTTTTTCCATTTAGCTTTTTTTGACGATTGATCAGGTGTAGTCACTTCATATTGGACATTCTGATCCTCGTCCTCAGTCTCCATGGTTACTGTCCCATTTTGACCCATCTCATTTGTAAAACAATCAGGAACTGAGCTCATGGAATATGGAGTAATTATTCTTCTACACATAGATGGAATCTAAAAAAAAAAATAGAACATTTGTATTCTCAGGGGCAGAGCTACGTCACAGAACGTTTTCCGTTGATAAACAGCTCACCACTGTATCGTGTATTTTTATGGGCTCTGTGCGAGCTGCTGTGGAACACTGGTGGAAGAGCCAGTGAAAACAGCTAAAGTCGAGGAAACAGCACAAACTCAACTTTAAAGTAATCCCGAGCAACCAAATTTATATATGTTGCACAAGTAAAGATAATTCACCTTTTTATCAAAACCTAAAGGCCGCTGTCAAATACTGTATGTCAAAATAATGTTGAAATTTGAGGACGATTTTTTTGGTGAGAAAAATCTAAATCTAATATTCAAATGGGTTAATGATAGAGTAAACTTGTGTGATTCACAGTGTTAAGAATGATAAAAATACACAATTTTGAAATCCATTTCAGCTTACCATTTCTTTATACCCAGCAGATACTTCCTCTAGAATATCTTCACTTAATATTTCCAATGTCCTACACAAAACAATAATTATAAAACTGTCAATATACTCATATAAGTTACAGTATACCATAATTATGTATACCATATTAGGAAATGTAAATTCCAAATAAGGTAATGATAACATAATATTTCTGAAATGACAGACATATTACTGAACGAATTGCATCACAAACAACTTTCAACTACTCAACAATTATTTGTCACACTGCACTCCTGGTGGAATCATAAAACTATGGGATGGTACACTGTAAATGCATTAAGTATTGACTGGGTATCAATTTCGCTGATAAGTAAAATCCCATAAATTAAATCTATGTAAACAAGTAAAATAACAATAAAAGTTGTTGTTTCCTTGACAAATTCACAAAATTAAAACACAATGAATATGCTCTAAACATCAATATAGTGAAATTAAATGTCAGAAAAAATATATGGTTTTACAGTAATGGTGTACATTTGAGGATAGTGTGATAGCGCCCTCAAATGGACTAATTATCAGTCACTTTGTTTATTGGTCCCGGGTGCAAATCTGTCAAATCAGTTCAGCCCGCCAGGCATACTATTCGTAGCAGAACTAAAATTCATCATCAATATCCATTTATTGGACTGTACACTTTACCAAAATCTGATAAAGTCAGTCTTTTTCGTTATTCGCAAAACCTATTCTATGCTAGAACATTGACAACCGTCATGTTGAGTGTGGCAGCAAAGAAAACCGGAGCAAAGTCTCGTGGAAGACCTAGAAAAAACCCCACCGTAAGCGTCGATGAAGGAAGCGCTACCAGAAGTAGGGTGAGCCCGACGTGGGCGCAAATTTGGCATCCGAGATACTGTTCGAGTTTAAGACTCTAAAACATGAAGTCCAGGCCCAGGAATCAACAACAGATTGAAATCCTTGGAGAATTTGAAACAAATTTGCGCGCAAATATGGCGGCATTAAATCAAAGTTACAATATTCCTCAATTACGACAGATGGCTACCGCCGATGTACAACTACAACACGATATGCAGGAAGCCCAATACTAGTACATCCCTAGTTTCATGAATCCGTCTGGCGAAACTAACGCAAAATTTGGTAAGTCACAACGCTTTCAGACAAGAAAGGACAGTGCAACTTTTACTGTATCATGGCCGCATATGACAGCCCAACCCCGCCTGTTCGGTGCTGGCAAAGAGATTAGTTTTGACTCTATGACAATCAGCGAATTTGTGGAGGGTTTTACGGCAATTCTAATGTCAGAATCATTGAGTGAAACTGAGAAGAATTTACGTCTTCAACACCTCAATATGCTAATGAGATTTGCGTCAGTCTACCCGTGGGACGCAGTTATAAAATACCACGGCGCGTTTCTGCAGGACATTGACTACGGACGACGTACATGGGAAAGTGATGGTCATGACTTGAAGGAACTTCATTTGTATCCACGTGCAAGTGAGACAAAGACAGCAAAATTGAATAAGTTAGTCTGGCACCTCTACTTCAGACTCTGTGCAGTATTGTTGGCCATACAATCAGGAAGGGAAATGCGGTGATGGACACTCGTGCAAATACAAACATATATGCAGTGCGTGTTCACTATATAAGTTGCGAAAGTTGAT